GGGTGATTTTTAGGGGCGTCCAACGCCCCCCTCCCCAACACAGAGAAAGGGCTCGTGCACCGGCCTTGAAAGGACTTACGCATGCGCTAGGAGGAGCATCTTGCACATGGCAGAGCAGCTCGCAGTGCACTGAAGATGCATGCCATCATGCCACGGCCGCTGTCATGCAAGCAAGTGCGTTGACTTGGCAGCGTCGTCAGCGTGTGGGCTGTCCGTCAGACACGGACGCATCGTGCGCCAACGCCGCATGTGAGCTGCTCCAGCCCCTCGATACGTTATCTTTGCTTTAATTTGTCGTCCCGGGCGGTGCGACCTGCGAACGACGAGTATAAGTTGTAGTTGCAGGCGTTTCGCGCTCATCGTTCAATCGTGCATTTTGTGTCAGCATACTTTTGAAGATCAAAAATATTTGTCCGTCAGATGGCCCGTGCGCGGCCCGGCTAAGCCACCCTCGAGCTACAATCTCGAGAGCGGCGTATCAGCCCTCCCATCGGCTGGCCCGCTCAGAGCGCAAGTAAAGAATGCCATCTGTCAGTTTCTCAGTGGTTTCCCGCAGCGTCATCTGAGCTGGGGCGCACATCGCAGGGCGTCCAGCAGTGACGCCAGGCTGCCTGCCATCCCCCCTGGCAGGCTGTGCCCGTTGCAGAACCAGGTGGAGGTGCCTCGCTGTTGCCCTCGCACCTGCCCAGCCATGGCCTGCTCAGCATCTGCCTTTGCGTTTTTCGCCCTGGACGGCCCGGCGGCGTACGCGGATCTTCGGGCAGCAGCGCTGGCGGATTACCGCGCCTCAGCTGCTGCCGCCTCCTCGGCCGCGGCTGCCGCACCGTCAGCGGTACACCCCCGCGGCGCTGTCCGCCGCGACAGTGGCGGCCCTGCGGACCAATGCTCCTTCTGCGTCTCGGCGGCGCCGCTGGAGGCTGGCCGCGAGGCTGGCGGCTGTGGTGCCTGTGATGGATGGTAGGCTTTCACCGAACGCCCCTGCATGCCCCCGCTCGTGGCGAGCCCGCCACCGGTCCCTCGCCCTTGCAACAAAGATCTGCCGGCTGCTTGCAGCGCACATTTACTGGTAGCAGCATCGGTCGGGCCCGCGGCCGCAGGCATGCGCTCATGCGTTGACGAGACCCTCGCAACCCTTGTCGCTCACTCCCCTCTTTCCCAACCTTGCCGCTTTGTCTCGCAGCGGCCAGCCGGCCTGCGGCGCGTGCGCCGCGGCGCGCCTAGCCGCTTGCCCCGCCTGCGGGTTTGCGGCCTGCGAGGACTGCCGCCTGCAGCTGGGGGAAGAGGAGGACGGCGCGGGCCAGGACGTGGGCGGGCGCCCCGGTGGCTGCTGGTGCGCACGAGGGGCCGCACGTCCGCCCGCCCACCGTCCGAGCGGGGGCCCAAAGACGGCTGGCGAAATCTGCTGTCTGGGTTCTTTTGGGGGCATTAGTGCGACCAGTCGCGACCGAGGGCGGCCTGGCTTGCCTCGCCGCTGAGGTACGCTCCCTGCCCCTCGCAAATCCCTGCCGCGCCAGCAGGTGCGAGAGCGGGAGCCAGAGGGACGCCGACAACCACAGGTGCGCCGGCTACGCGGTCAGCCTCCTCTCTCCCCCCAAATGCAGCTTTGCCAGGCACCGCCTGCCCTTGCCGGGGCTTTGCTGATCGCCAGCGTCATTTCACATCCCGTGAAGTCCTCACTTTTGAGACACCCTATGCGTACGAGCACACCACCCTCTTCTCACCCGCAGATTCGTCAGCCGCGAGCGGTACAAGGCCGTGTCCATGACTCACCCGTCCATGCGCGCGTCATCCATGGCCGCAGCCGGCCTGCGCGACGACGAGGACGACGGGGAGGCCGACGGCTGGGCGTTCGCCCACGGGTGGCAGCTCGTGGGGGGCGCCGCAGATGATGACGCCATCACCGGCGACGGCGGCAGCGGCGGCAGCAGCGCCGGCGCCGGTTACGGCGCGTCGGCGTCGTCGTTGGGTGGCGTGCTGCTGCACGGCGCGGCCGGCGGCCGCCACGGCAGCATGGAGCTGTCGTCGGACGGCGGCAGCGGCCTGCGTCGCTCGATGATGCGGTACGGCGCCCTGGGCGCGAGGTCCCGCCACTCGGGCTGCTTCTGATCCTGCAGTTCTCTGCTGAACTCAGATCGCCTCGTGGCCTGAAATCTGCGATCTCAGGTGTTCGAATGAAGAGCGGAAGTGATGTGATGCGAACTGGAGACGGTTTTGTGAGTGCGGCACCCGTGACTATCTCATGGACGGCCCAGAGGCCGCCCGCGGGCGCGGCCGCTCTTGAGTCCGTGCCCTGGGGCGAGGGAGGCGCGCGCTGTTCGCTTTGGTTGCTGCTGGCGCAACACAGCGCTGTGTCCGGCCACGTGCACGGCGTCACGGCGCCGCTGCTTCTGCAGCGGCGCCCCGCTTACGATGAGGGGAGTTGTTGGGCCGTCTTGTTGTCCTAGATCCGGCTGTGCATTGCATGAGAAGGACAAGTTGGGATTCGACTCTGTCAAGTGTTTGGGAGGTTATTGCCGCTGTGTTTCAGGGCCTGTCATTTTCGGCATCGTTGTTGTGCTGGGAGAGAGAGTGCATGCACTGCCCCCCCTTCCCCTCAAAAAACCCGTGGCAACGCGGGCTACTGCCCCTGGCTTTAGAGCCACGCGCGTGCGCGCTCTCGCTTGCGGCTGCCACCGGTGCGCCGCTCTGCGGCTCGGTTTCATAGAGAGCCTTCCTGCCCCTGCATATCGCCGCCCCTCCGCCCCACACGCCTCCTGGCACATATGTGTGCACGTGGTTGCAGCCTGTGACGCCGGGCATCGTTTTGTTGCGCGACCGGCACGGTTCCAAACCAGCCCAGCATGCCGCCGCCGGCTTCGCTCACGGAAAACACAGCACTCATAGCACGCATTGTACACAACACACATCCGATGCGCACCGTTGCATTTGCTCACGTGTGCGCCCACCTTGCATTGCCCCCTGAGGCGACACCTCTTGTCCCCTCCCACCACTGAATCCTGCACGGCATCGGCTGTGCGCGCTTGGACGGGCCAGCGCCCCGCGGCACAGGCCGTGCGTGCAGCAAATCACAAGTCGCTGCCGGATGCCGCCTGGCGCCCCAGGGTACAAGGGCGCAGCCCAGGCGCTGCGGCCCCATGCCCGAGCCCGGCCTGCGGCTGCTGGCAACCACAGCGGCCCGCGCTGCTGCTGGTCTGCATGGGTAAAGCGTTTCATTTCAGGGCCGTCGCCGCTGCGGTCTTGCCCCAACCGCCCGCGCTGGCAGCCTCTGCCTACGTTGCGCTTCTGCAATGCACAGCCCGCCCCCCGCTCATCCAGGAACTCGTCTCGTTTTTACAGCCACGCGCCCTCTGTTCCTGGCTGCTCGCCGCCCGCATACTGCCCAGCCCGCCCCCCAGCACGCGCACCCGCCACTTGTGCTGGTCGGTGTTGCCTGTGTTGTGTTTGTTCCCCTGTCTCAGTCTTTGTCTCAATATTTGTCGATGGACGACTGCTGCGCACAGCCTGTGGGCAGGCCAGCCACTACCGCATGCGGACTGGAGCATGGGGTGGCGCCACTCACCTTATCACGCGAGCTGGTGCATCCTTGTAACAGTACGGCAATCAACTGTGCAGGTTGTGCCAACATGCAACGCGAGTGCGCTTGCAGATGGCGGTCCCTTGACACAGAAATCACGTCCGACATTCAATATCTGGAGTATATGAGTGCCTGTTCGAAAGATGGCTAGGCCAATGGCGCTGCTTTTGGTGTTGCAACTGCAGTCTGCTTGTCCTGCTTGTCCTGCATGTTCTGCTGCTGCTGCTGCTTGCTGCAGCTGCTGATGCTTTGTTGACTAGAGTAGTAGCGCTCGAAGAAGTGGCAAATTTACACACGAGTAGCAAAGTATTGACTTTGCAAAAGGTTTGCAGTAGCTTTGCAAGTGCAGGTGATCTAACACTATCTGCTAAGGAAAAGAACTGGTCAGCTGGAACAGCCAGCTGCGCTCGTGCCATGGGTGGATTCCACCCCCTTCGCCCGTGTGGCAGCCGCCAGGGAAGCGGTGGCGATCAAACCGCATGCCGCACGCAACCTGCCTGTGCAATGCTGCAACAACACACGCTTTTATCTCCTGCGTCATCATGCGGACAGCTCCTCTGTAAACACTCACGACACCCCGACCGCAGACACGGGACGGAAAGTAGTGACTGGGGCGTGGGCATTGGCGAGCTGAGCGCCCAATTGACACAGACTCCCAAACTGGTAGAATCCAGGTGGGGTCGTGGCCAATGATGCATGCGCCACAGGTGGGGTTTTAACAACTGAAACAGCCTGCGGGGCTCCCAGGGGATGTCGAAGCCCCATCCACCGCAGAAGGCACACCTCACAGCGTTCAAAGCCAAGCGCGCCAGGCTAGGGGGAGGCAAGGAAGCTCGGACTGGAACACGCTCGCACCCACTGATGCGAACTCATCTGATTGCCTACACTCAAAACACAAGTCAAAACCGCAAGACCATCGCACAGCGACCACCGCATACATGGTAGCGCTGTGTGCGTGTCGCTTACACAGCACGGTCAAGCTCCATCAAGGAAGGAGACCCAACAGAAAGGAAACCAGTCATCGCATGGCAAGCCGCAGGCGCTGCGGCGAGCGGCGCCCGCGGGCCCGTGCGTGTGAATGCTGCTGCTGCAAGTGCAAGGGCACAGGGGGCAAAAACCTTTCGGCGGATCCAGACTTAGGGGGCGCCGCGCCGACGGCCGCCGCCTTTTCCGAGCTTCTGATGCTTTTTTTGTGGCGAACGGCTTGCCCAGGAGCATTGCGCCCCTGCAACAGAAGTCGCGGGCATGTTTTTTGGGAGGGTTGTGTGCTTTTTCTCAGCAGCGGTGGGTGCAGGGACCCATGGCGGCGAAGCGGTTGGTTCCAACACTCAGAACGTGCAGGCTGCGGGTCTCGAAAACGTGTGTGAAACGGAATGAAGTGACCCTATGGCATCGGCCTCAACACCTCTGTCGTGCCAAAGCGTCTCCAGAGGCAGCAGCGAGACGCGGCGCGCGTGCCTGGCCGCCGCTCCTTGAGGGGAAGAGGGGGTGCGCGACAGGGGCCCGCGCCAAAGCCAAACATCATGTAAATCGAAGTGGCGGGAAGGTGCTTGGGCAAGCCTGGGACACCGTGTCGCACCAGAAAAGCGGGCGGAGGTGCGCCGCCGCTGGGGCGCGCAGGGGACCTGACTGGACGATAGAAAGTGCAGGTAAAACGGGCGTCGAGGACCGACCGGCCCGAAAGGCGCCCGAGGCGTTTGCAGCCTGAACCGATGAGAGTAAGTAATGCTACTGGGCATGGGAACTGCTATTCAGAGGTGCGACAGCGCCGCACGGGCGCTGCGCACCCTCCAGCCAAAAGGGGCGGCAGAGGGTCTGCGTGCCCAGCCACAGCCTCCCGTTGCAGGGCCCTGGCAACGCCGCCTGCGGGGCGGCGGCACTGCGGAAGCGACGGCGGCGGCGGCTCGCGACGGGGCCGCGCCGCAGGGGGGGTCACGCGACGGGTGCCATCTGGGGCGTCCTGAATGAGAAGGAGAAGGGCGTGTCCTCGGCAGCTTCTGGGAACCAGTTGCTGAGCATGTACGACTGCTCGCGCCACGGCGGCAGCGGCGTGCCGCTCGCGCGGAACGAGGTGTCCATCTGTGGCGGTTGGGCAGGAGCGAGTGGATGGAGGTCAGGTTGACAGGTCAAAACGGAAGGGGGTGTGGTTGACCGGGCAAAGCAGAGAGGGGAAGGCAGGGCTCCAGGGAAGGGATGGTGAATGCATGGACACAAACCATGCGCACCAGACTCTGCACATACAGACGAAGACCTATCGCACTGCAAGTTGGAGGACCTGACACGCAGACGCCTGCCGACGCGTTCGGACAAAGACCTATCGCACTGCAATTTGGAGGACCTGACACGCAGACGCCTGCCGACGCGTTAACGGGGTTCAAAACCAACCAAGTCGAAAGCGGGAGAGGGGGGCCCGGCGCACCTGCTCGCACATAAATGACACCAGGGGCTCCAGCCCCTCCGCCGTGCCTATCACGACGGCAGGCAGCGCCGCGACCAGCGCTCTGTAAACCGGCGACGCCGCCGCGATAGATGCGATGGAGAAGCGCTCGCGGAAGCTCGGGTCGACGACGAACATGGGGCTCTGCTGGTACTCGGCGACGTCAGCGGCCACGGAGGCGGCGCCGTCGCCGTCGGAACCGGCTTGCCCCGGCGCGCGCACGACAACGAACGTGTGCTGCGGCGGGCACAGGGCCGCCGCGCCGCCGCTGCCGCTGCCGGCGGCGCCGGAGGTGCGGCGGAGGACGCCGTCCGGCGTCGCCGCGGCGGCGCCACCGGCGGCGAAGGCGGCGGCGGCGGCGGAGTTGACCCAGGACGCGTTGCGGGGGCTGGCGCCGACGCCGCTGGGGACGCGCGGGCTGGCGGCGCCGGCGGAGCGCGGGGTGGCGGCGCCGGCGGAGCGCGGGCTGGCGGCGTCGCTGCGCGGACTGTCGCCGGATGCTGAGTCGCCGGCCGCGTCGGGGCCCTTGCCGGTGCGCAGCCAGCCGTCGTGGCCGCAGCACGACAACACTTCTAGGAACAGGGGCAGGTCTAGCGCAGCCCCATCAGCCGGGACGGCTGCTGCCTGCCCCGGCAGCGCGGCGCCGTCGATCGCAGGGGCCGTGGCGGGGGCCGCAGCGGCGTTGGCGGGGGCGGCGCTGCTGCCAGTGGTGGCGACGTTCAGAGCTGCGGCGGCATCGCGGGCAAGGCGGTCATAGTAGGATTGCAGCTCCACCGTGGCGGCGCCGTCGCCGCCATTGCTGCCGGGGCGCAGCGCGCGCAGCAGGGGGATGAGTCGCTCGAGAGCAGCAGCAGCGTCGCGCTCCTCTCGCAAGAAACCCTCGAAGCCCTCGATCTGGGTTGGTGGAGCATGATTGCAGCATGCAAGGGGATCAAGGGAAGCTAGGGAAGAGAGGTTGGCGCATGTCGTGTTTGGGCAGGGCCATGCGCTGTTGGTGAGTTGGGCGGCGGCCGTCCTCGTCGGCATGCCGATGTCATGCGCGACAACGCTCGCAGGTGCCAGGGCTGACCTCAAGGTCGAAGAGCAGCGAAGGCGCCTTCGCCGTGACCGCCATAGTCTTGATGGTCACGTAGATGCGCGCAGCTATTCTCCAGGCGGCCGTAAACCACAGACGAACTGATGACGAGCGCCAGGAGGACTGCAGCCGTCGTAGAAGGGTGTGTGGTGGAGATGTTTGAGAAGTAAAGCGGTAAGCAAACAAATTGGAAGTAAGCCGCTGCAGCGAGGCGATTTTGTAGGGCCCGAAAGATCCCTGTGCCGGAGAAGTTACCGCAGAGTAGCTGGGGTGGCGGGCGCAAAGCGAACGCTTCGTGTATTGCAGCCTGATTATTCGAGTTTTTTTTAAGGCTACGCAAGCGTTCGTGCCTGTCAAAGGGAGGCGGGGCGCAAAATGTGCCAGACAGACAGACTGCCTGTGCCTGGATGAATCGTGCGCACCAGTGCATCCAAATGGAGTGTCTCGACCAAAAAACACCATTCTAAAAATCTTTACAGGCCGAACCTCTAACTCAGTATCACATCTCTATGCAGGAATTGAGGCAAGCAGTCTCGAGGCCTCGGTCATGGACTGGCGATGCACGCGAGAGCCTGCCATCATGGGCAAAAGCCTGCTAACGTGGGCATGCGCTGCGGCAACCTGTTGACTCGCTACATTGCCACAGGTATGTCATACACAGCATACGACACCAACTGATCTCATGCACATGGTGCCCGAAGTGGGCATGATGGCTGGCGAACTCGATGGACCATGGATGGGTCCCAGCAAGCGCTTTCGGCGACGCTGCTGCTGGAGTCCTGCAGGAACCAAATCAAGCACTGCTGTGCTCAAAGCTGTCAACATGTCAGCATGTGATGCGCTGGGGCGCCTCGATCGGGGCAGGCGTTCGCTGGTACCCCAGATGCACCGGGGTTGGGCGTGCAACACGCATTCAGGGAAAATGTGAGCGCCCGGCAAGAGCATCGCATGCTGCTTCAAGCATGCTATCCTCGCATGTCGGTGAGTCTTGCACCATGCCACCGGCCGCAACTGCGGATTGCTGGCTACGCATTTGGCGTTGACAGGTGCATTGAATTTTGACTGGGTTGCAAGCTTGCCAAGGAATCAACGGTGCACAAACCATGGTAGGAGGCAGTGCAGCGCTCGATGTGATTGCCTGAATTTTTGAAGAGCGTGTGTATATAATCCTTTTGTATACTGGCAGGGCTGCCTCGGCTGGAGCCAGTTTTATACACACAGGAGCAAGAGGGGTCTAGTCCTCGCGGTGGGTGCATTGCTGAATCCTTTTTTGTGCGATGCTTTGAAGGTCAGACCGCAGGTGGCCGCGTGCCGCGGGTGGACCACTTGCTGGGGAAGCGGCCATTGCCTAGGTGCAAGCCGTCATGCTTGAGTGAAGCATCGGCGGCAATGGATGCCAAAAATATTACAACGATAAACAGCGTGCTAGGCGCGAGCAGGCGCAACTGACGCAGTGCGCAGCAAAGCACCAGTAGCAGCGCGCCGGCAGCGTCCACTCCCGCACACATGTGTGTTGCGCGTTACCTCTGCACCATCCTCAAACAGAATTAACATATTCATGAGTGCCATCAGACCAGCATGGCACTTGCACCCTCTGCTGTCACCCCTGGTACCACCCAGCCCATCCAAGTTCCCTGCACAACACCCCACTCCCCACCACGCCGCACCCGCCCGTCACAGCGGCGAGCAGCGGCAGCAGCAAGAGCGGCAGCAACAGGGGCGGCCGCACGGCAGGCATAGCGCGGGTCTGGCGGGATGTCTGTCCTGGATACCTTGCAGTCGACGGCCAAGATGAGCCAAGTGCTTAATATGGCCTCAATAAGGCCTCGTATCGTCCAGGTGCGTGGGGGGTGCTTAGGCGCGTGTTGGGTGCAGCTGGGCGGCGCTCAACTGAGTGACAACCTGCAGGGTGTGGGGGTTGCTCTGCCGTTGCTTGGAGCGTTGCAGGCAGCGGGCAGTGGAGGTGAGCTGCGGCCCAGAGTCGAGTGCGGTTTGCAGTTCTACGCAGTCAGTCAGCGCGCCGCCAAGCCTGCTGCAGAGCCCGTCGTTTCAATAACACTGGGGCCAAGCGAGGTCGCTGAATCACGGCGCTGGCGGCGTCCGCAGCCGCAGTGCGCGCGCGCATGCTCGTTCAAGCCGTTGCCGCATCCGTCGCCGTTGCCGCATCTGTGTCCAGCGCCGAGGGTCGTGCCGGCATCCCACCACCTTGACCGCCGCCAACCGCCACAAATAATGCGCGCCGCCCTTAGGTGGAGTATGCTGTGCGTGGAGAGATCGTGCGGAGGGCTCAGGAGATAGCAGAGGACCTGGAGAAGGGCCACGGGGAACACCCATTTGACAAGGTGATCTGATCTCGCTCTTGAATGATCTGATCATGTGATGGGTCACCACCGGGAGGCTCAGGCAGCGGGCTGCACTGGATTGGAACGCAGCCGACCAGGGTAGCCGTTTTCTGATGTGATGCGTGGCCCTGAAATGGTTTTGACGACCTAGTCTCCTGCGCTTCGCCTGCGCCCTCCACTGTGAACGTCGCCTCCAATCCAGGTGGTGTGGTGCAACATCGGCAACCCCCAGATCTTGGGGCAGAAGCCCATCACCTACTTCAGACAGGTCCTCTGCCTCTGCGAATACCCAGAGGTGCGGCTTTGCTGCTGCTGGCCGACCCGGCACATTGAGTGCGCTGCGCCGATTTCACGCAACTCTGCGCATGCCCGCTTGCGAGGTCGTCAACGCCGAAGCATACCTGCCTCAACTGGTGCAGCGAGTGACGAATGCATGTGTCCACCATAAACGCAGTTGCTGAAGCACCCAGAGGTGACGGCGCTGTTCCCTGCTGATGTCATTAAGAGAGCAGAGTGAGCTTCCCCGCCACGCATCGCCAGTCAGCTGCGTGTCTCCAAGCGACCGCGTCCCTGCAGGCCAAACTTCGCTCTGCAGCAGCTGTGGTGGCACCACGCTTGTTGCACCCGGGCGCCTCAACCTAAGCTGTTTTCCGGGAGCAGGGGCACAGGTGCGCTCACCTGTCCGCAGCCAGTCAGGCCGACAGCAACCCTCATCAGGGCCCCACAGTGTCGTGCGTTTAGTAACCGCTGCAACCACCGCAACCGCAGGCAGTTTTTGGCCGAGATCCCTGGTGGCCTGGGTGCCTACAGCGACAGCGCGGGCGCCGCCGTCTGCCGCCGCCAGATCGCGGCCGCCATCGAGCGCCGCGACGGCGTGCCCTGCGACATGAGCGAGCTGTACCTCACGGTGGGCGGTTTGACCGAGGTTTGACTGGCGTGATTCACCTGTGGCATGACCTTGATGTGGCTGGTGGTCGAGATGCGTTTGACTAGGGGGGTGACCGAGCAGTTTGAGGAGGAATTTGACAACGATGGTTCACGCGGCTTCGCTTGTTGCGCGGTGGCAGCTGCTGTGCCGACGCTGGTTGCAGACCGGGCGGCCGCTTCCCGTCCGAGGCCCAGGCAACACCTGCGCCCCAGGAGCACCTTGCTCCCGCCGGCCCGCCCTTGCAACTCTGCGCAGGACGGGGCGTCACCGGGTGTGCACTACCTAATGGAGATGCTGATCCGCGACAGCAGCGACGCGTGGCTGGTGCCCATTCCGCAGGTGAGGCCACAGCCTTAGTGTACGCGGCTGTGAGCTGTGCTTACTCCATGCTTAGTGGTGACGCCGGGCTCGTCGGTGCCAGGGCGGGCAGTGCAGCTGCCATCTGGCTGTAGCGCGGGACGCGCCTTCGGCTTCGGTGCCGGGCATCCCTGATGCTTACCTGCATCAGCCAGCGCCGCACCCGCCGTCCGACTCCACGTCACCTGTGTCACCCGCGTCACCCGCGTCACCCGTGCAGTACCCGCTGTACAGCGCCACCCTCACCCTGTACGGCGGCCAGCTGGTGCCTTACGAGCTGGACGAGGCCGCCGGCTGGGGCCTCAACACGGCCGCGCTGCAGCAGCAGCTCGCCGCCGCGCGGACGCGGGGGCTGTGCGTGCGCGGTCTCGTAGTAATTAACCCCGGCAACCCCACCGGCCAGTGCCTGTCGCGTGAGCGAGGGGGCGTCCCCGGCCCGGGGCGCGCCAGGGCAGGGAGCCGTGGTGTACCTGCGCCGCGTCAGGGGCTCCAGTGCTGGCTGGGAGGCTGCAAGGGCTGCCGTGATTGCCAGCCAGCACCGAAGTGTGCTAGTTCCACCATCCCGCTATCCCACATGTCTACGCTGCAAACCCCGCGCTTTCATCTTTCCTGTTGATCACGACATGTCTCCCTGGCTTCCAGTTGAGAACCAGGAGGAGATCGTGAAGTTCTGCGTGCAGCACGGCCTCGTGCTCATCGCCGACGAGGTTTACCAAGTGAGTCACAATCATGATCTGTTCTTGCGTCCTATGATGAGGGGTTCAGCGCTCATTGATGGTGCTGGGTCGGCAGCCTTGGCAATTGTGCCTCGGGTGTGGGCGCCTTGCTGTCATGTCGGCAGCTGCCCCTGCCATCCGCTTTGAAACCCTCCCAGCGACCTCGCTCACAGATTGTTGGTAGAGCGGCCTGCAAACCATTTTTTACCCCCCAAGCACAGCCCGTTCTACACTTGCATGCCTGAGGTAACCACCAACCGCCACCAACCGCCACCTGCCACCGCAGGCAAACATCTACGCCCCCAACCGCTCCTTCCATTCTTTCAAGAAGATCGCCCACCAGCTCAGGGCCCCCTGCCCCCTGGTGTCCCTGCACAGCACGTCCAAGGGCTTTGTGGGAGAGTGCGGGCGGCGCGGCGGTTACATGGAGGTTTTGAATTTTCCGAGGGAGATCCACGAGCAGGTGGGATTTTTTGAGCTGCCCTCCTTCCATTCGAAACTGCACTTTGCCAAGAGCATACCGGTCGCGTTGGATCTGTCTTGAGCAGCTGAAACGTCAGCTTGTTTGGGCGGCGCTCAGCATGCCTTGCCGTGTCCTCACTTCCGGCGCGGCCAGCCAGCGAACTTCACGTTTCAGCCGACAACAGCAAACGGCCCCGGCGCGAAGGTAGCACGTGCATGCGTGGTCACGTGTGTTGCGCGTTGTCGCACCCCTCGCCCTCGCCTCACTCCTCTCCTCCCCCCTCTCTCCTGGCAAGCTGCGCTTCGACGGCCGCCTTTGCCCCTGCCCTTCCCCAAACCCTTCCAAACCGTGTGAGCAGATCCTGAAGCTGGCGTCCATCAACCTGTGCCCCAATGTGTCAGGCCAGATCTGCTGCACACTCATGATGACGCCACCAGAGGAGGGGGACCCAAGCCACGAGCTGGTGCGCTAACACACACACATGCGCAGCACACCGCATGCACCCCTGTGCACTGCAGTCTCCGCGCCCAGCTCTGCTTTCGCGCGATGCCTAGGAGCGCCGCCTGGTGGTCCCCTGCAGCCGTAGGGTTTCTCCATCGCCTGTTGTTTGGCGCGCGGGCGGCGGCCGTCCATGCCGTCGGCCCCTCGCTCCGCCTCACACCCGCCCGCTCGCGCGCGCGACTGCGTTTTCGCCCCCGCTCGGCGCCCGGCGGCCGTCCTGCGCCCGCGCAGTATGTGGCCGAGCGGGACGGCGTGCTGACTAGCCTGGCGCGGAGGGCGGAGATGCTGGTGGCGGGGCTGAACGGGCTGGAGGGCGTCACCTGCAACGCTGCGGAGGGCGCGCTGTATGCGTTCCCCAGGTGGGGGCTGATGTTTGCGTGTGTGCGTGTGTGTGTGCACGTGTATGTGTGTGCACGTGTGTGTGTGTGTGTGTGTGTGTGTCTGTGTGTGTGTGTGTGTGTGTTTTGTCGTGTGTGTGTATGCGTGTGCGCATGTGATTGTGTGTGTGTGACTGCACATGTG